GCCTTTCCTGGAGCTCACTTGGTAGCCCAGGCTGGCCTCGAACTCACAGAGATCCGCCTGCCTCTGCCTCCCAAGTGCTGGGATTAAAGGCGTGTGCCACTACCGCCTGGCCTCCTTTTCCTCTTATGAGAAAGGATCTGTTTCTGTAGTTCAAGCTGACCTTAGCTCACTGTCCTCCTGTCTCTGCAGACTGAGTTCTGCAATTACCACCTTGCTTAGTTATTTCCTTCTCCTCCCAGTGTTCAGTGAGATGCTGGGACCTGGGCCTAGATGACAGATATGAAAGGAGCTACAGAGTAGAATAGATCCTTCCCCCCACAAAAGCCTTTAAAATGATGGAGTTTGCTTCTTTTTTGTCTGTTTTGGGGTTTTTTGTTTGTTTAAGACAGGGTTTCGCTGTGTAGCTTTGGAGCCTGTCCTGGATCTCGCTCTGTAGACCAGACTGGCCTTGAACTCACAGAGATCCGCTTTGCTTCTGCCTCCTAAGTGCTGGGATTACTACAACCAGATGTAGCCCAGGCTGGCCTCAAACTCATCATCCTTCTGTGTTTGCCTTTTCTTCATGTTCTACTGGGGTATGCCACCACAACGGGCAGTGTAGATGTATAAGGTGTCTACACTCAGCCTCCAGAGGTCTTGACCACCTCTTGACACATTTGTTTATCTCTTTCCTGCAGAATGTGAAACTCTTGGAACAGTTTGTTTGCGCCCACACTGGTATGATCTTCCACGCCCCATATACAGGTTAGCTTGGCATTGCTGTTAATACCGCTGGTAGATATTTGATTGCTCCTATGTACAGCACCCAGAAGTGTGATTGAAGCTTTTGGAGACTTTCATGAGGATACTCATTAGGCTAAAGCAGTTGCATGTACACAAAAGACTAAGGTGAGCCTCTCAGTAAGCCACTGTCTAAATGTGCTTTGAGTCTGGCGGTGGTGCACGCCTTTAATCCTAGCACTGGGGAGGCAGAGGCAGGTGGATCTCGGTAAATTTGAGGCTGGCCTGGTCTACAGAGTGAGTTCCAAGGCAGCCAGAACTACATAGAGAGAACCTGTCTTTAAAAAAAAAAAATACAAAGCAAACAAAAAACCCAAAAAGAACAAGAAAAACAACTAAGTTTAACAATTCAGGACTATCTCTACTTTTTACCTTTGGTGGCCTGTGGCCATGTCCAGTTTTTCATATGGTCTACATCTGCTAGCCAAGCTGAATGTCATATATCATAGACAGAGACAGAAGGACCTAAAGAGCAAGAATAACCTGAACTCACTATGTATGGGGAGGAACATAAGCCTGTGATAAGTTCCTTTTGTTTGTTTGCTTATTTATTTATTGGTTTTTCGAGACAGTGTTTCTCTGTGTAGCTTTGCTCCTTTCCTGGAACTCACATGGTAGCCCAGGCTGGCCTCACAGAGATCCCCCTGGCTCTGCCTCCCAGAGTGCTGGGATTAAAGGCGTGTGCCACCACCGCCCGGCGATAAGTTCCTTTTGTGAGGAGGCTTTTACTATCAATCTCCAGAATGGAAATATGATAATTACTGCTATTTTTGTTGTTGTTTTGTTTGTTTTTCAAGACAGGGTTTCTCTGTGTAATTTTGCTTTCTGTCCTGGATCTTGCTCTGTAGTCCAGGCTGGCCTCGAACTCACAGAGATCCACTTGACTCTGCCTCCCAGTGCTGGGATTAAAGGCATGTGCCGCTGCCGCCGCCGCCGCCGCCCGCTAATTACTGCTATCCTTATCACATTCCCTAATTTGAAGTCACTTCTTCCCTTATGGGATCTTTCTCTGGATTGTACAAGTCAGCCCTGCCTGCACTTGCCCATTGAATCTCTTCAGGCCCATCTGCAGACTTTATCACTCAGTGACATCTCTAGTGGCTAGTCATCTGAGGTCCTCCTCTAGCTCTCAGGCGGCTACAGATGGGGCAGATGGGAACTGGCTGTGTGGGAAGGTCGGGGGCAGAGGTCATTAAGTAAAGCCAGCTCCTCCATGATGAGCTAGCTGTCTCTGTATAGAAGACTCTTGCTAACTCTACTTTGGGGGATGTGCTCTGAGTTAATTTTTCTCTCTGTAGGGGTCTGTATGAGGCAGCATAAGAAGCTGACCCAGGCCATCCAGAAAGCCAGGGAGTGTGGTAAGTGAGAGCAAGGAGGCAAGGTTTTCTTAGGTGTGGCAAAGTGACTTGGACTGGAAGGTGCTTGTGTGCTCTGTCTCTGAGAACGTACTCCTGGTTTCTTCTGAATTGGGTGTGGTGCTGGAGTCTGTAGTCCCAGCTGCACATTTCAGGCTACTAGCACTACATACTGAGACGCTGTTTGAAACACGAAGGAAGAGACGTTTCTTTCCTCCCTGTACTCTGCCTCCTGAATCTTGACAGTCTTGTGTTTTGTGTTGTGCCCTCGGCAGTGTAGACATTGACGGAATGCAGCTTTGCAGGGGAGAGCCCGGGCAGGACCCTTCCTGTTCTGTCTCCTTGGCTGGGGTACAGTGTGTGGCCTGCTGAAAAGGCCTGGTGGTCCTGACTGGCCCCTCCATCTGCAGTGCCTTTGTGTGTGTTTGTTCTGGTAGTATCTCTCTTTGTCTTTGATCTCAACTGCCTTTCCTCACTTCCTCATCCTCGTTATTTCCTTTCATCCCTTAGGGCTCCTCAGTCACTACGTTCCCCAGGTTGAGCCCCGAGACGCTGACTTCAGCGCTGTCCATGGGGCTGTCAGTGTCACCCCGCCGGCCCCCACGTTACTGTCAGGCCAGCCTTGGTACCCGTGGTACAGCTGGCAGCAGCCACCAGAGAGAGAACTGTCCCGCCTTCGCCGCCTCTATCAAGGAAACCTCCTCGAAGAAAGTGGCCCCCCACCTGAGTCGATGCCTGAGGTGCCCAGTACACCACCAGCAGAAGCCTCCCCTGAGCAGACGGGCTCCCAGAGTGCTTAGAACCTGTGAACTAGGGTTATGTGATGTCATGTGTTCTGAAACGAGTCTGTTTGGGGACAGTGACGACCCTGAAGAGCAGGTGATTGCTGAAGAAGACAGACCCATCTGAGGTTGAGGAGAGAGGTCTAGATGCACATGGGAAACTGACTGGAGGGGTCCGACATGAACAGGAGACTCCTCACTTGTGTGTGTCCTGGATACTGAGTCCCTGTTTTAAACCTGTGGCCCAGCTCTTCTACAATAAAGCTGTCTCTCTCTGTCCCTGGTTTCCTTTGCGCTGACTCTGCAGAACATGGGGGTGAAGTGTATGAGATGGGGTGCTGCTGTGAGGTGGGAGGTGTCCAGTCTTAACTCACCCTGCCTGCAACTCCAGCAAGGAAAGGGTGTATAAAGGCCATTCTGTCTTGTGGGTCCCCTCGGCTGTTCACTGTGAGGCCCTGGTGAGAAGTGCTTGGTCGCCATGGCACTACAGGGCACAGACCTTCAGGAGGAGTCCTGTTGCTGGGGGACCTCCGGATTGGCCAGAAGAATGGGGTCTCCCAGGCTGCTGAACCCTGCTGTGGGGGCGGGGCGGTCCCTGGAGGCGGGTCCTGGAAATAAAGACAGGGTTTGCGCCCCTGGTGGCGGAAATGACGTTGTGTGGGGCGTGTCCGGTCCCGCACAATGGGCCATGGAGTTCCCGTTCGATGTGGATGCGCTGTTCCCGGAGCGGATCACCGTGCTGGACCAGCACCTGCGGCCTCCGGCCCGCCGACCCGGAACCACAACGCCGGCCCGGTGACATTTCAAACCCGCCCCGTAGCCCTTCTGTCCCGGTTCCTCGCCAAATCTGGTTAAGGCACCACGCCCCCTTCTCGATGACTACTGGCCATTCTTGCGTTCACAGCCTGGTTTTTGGTGGCCTTTGACCCTGGATCTACCTGGGTTAATCGGCCTGCATCCTTAGCCTTTCATCCCTTGGCCCAATGTGACCTCAACTAGAGACTGGGTGACCCGCCTTTCCTAGTGCCCCACAGTAACCTTAGCGTGGGAGCTGTGAAGCCGAAGTTCGGGGTCTGGAGCGGTGAGGTGGGAGATGAAGTGTTCCAAGCAAAGGCAGAGACCCCATGGAAGAGCCGGGGTGGGAGCGAGCAGGCTGCCAGGAGTAACCTGGGACGCTGTAACCCCAGCAAGTGTCTGACCGACCCCTCTCTCTGCAGTGTGGATCTGCAGCAGCAAATCATGACTATTGTAGACGAGCTGGGCAAGGCCTCTGCCAAGGTACGGGGCACCTCTCGGACCGGTAAAGGTAAAGCGGGGTGGCAGGTAAGGGCCCGTACAAAGTCTGTCTTCACCTCTGCAGGCCCAGCACCTTCCCGCACCCATCACCAGTGCTTGCAGAATGCAGAGTAACCGCCATGTTGTTTATATACTAAAGGACACTTCAGCCCGATCGTGAGTTCTGTTCTTCCATCCGAATCAAACCCTTGCTTATCCTTAGCTGTCCTCCTTTCTTTCACTGTCTCTCCCAGACAGTTGCCACTGGTTCATGATTTTCCCCACCCCACAGGGCAGGGAAAGGAGCCATTATTGGTTTCCTCAAAGTTGGATACAAGAAGCTCTTTGTACTGGTGAGTGTTGCTGCAGACTGGGCGTTTGTAAGCTTTGGTGCCGGAGAAGAAACGTGGAGGAGGATGGGGTGGGGTGGGTAACGAAGATGCCTGGCGCCTAAAAAGTTGTGTTGTTCTCGACCTTGTAGGATGACCGCGAAGCTCACAATGAAGTAGAACCACTTTGCATTCTGGATTTCTACATCCACGAGTCGGTGCAGCGGCACGGCCACGGACGGGAGCTCTTCCAGTATATGTTACAGGTACCACCCCGTCTTTATGGGTTAGTCATCGCGGAGCTGAAAGGTTCCGCACCCTGCGACTCCCAGAGGCTCTGCTGCCGGCCCCACAGTGGTCCATTTCCTTCATGTTCCCTTGCCAGGCTCCCAATTTCCTGCTAGCATGCTCCACCACCACCCCCTGCCCCCAAGTCTCCCATTTCCTACAGAAAGAGCGAGTTGAACCACACCAGCTGGCCATTGATCGACCGTCACCAAAGCTGCTGAAGTTCCTGAACAAGCACTACAACCTGGAGACCACAGTCCCGCAGGTTAGAGGCTCCGCACACGGGCAGCACCTCATCTCCCTGGGCAATCCCAGTAGATTGACTGATCCTTCTACGGTGCTGGGGATCAGAGCTAGGGCCTTGGGCATGCTATACATGTGCCCTGCCATTGAATTACATCTCTACTCCCCTTTTTTAAAAATTTACATTTATTTTCTTACTGTGCATTCCAGTTCATGTGTGGAGATGAAAGATGTAAGAATCAGTTTGGACCTTCCGCCACATGGGTTCTGAGAACTGAACATCTGATCAGTCCTACCTTGGGTTGTTTTGTTGTTGTTTTAGACATTTCATTTTATGTGTATGAATGTTTCGCCCACGTGTGTATATGTGCACCATGTTCATGCCTGAACAAACAGGTCAGAAGAGGGTGTCAGACCACTGGAACTAGACTTAGAGATGGTTGTGAGCCACCATGTGCTGGGGGTTGAACCTCAGTCCTTTGCAAGAGCAGCATGCACTCTGAACTGCTGAGCTGGCTCTTCAGCCTCTAATTTCTTTTAATATTTTCAAATAAAGTCTCACTGGGTCACTCTGGCTATCCTGGAACTCACCTTGTAGCCCAGGCCGGCCTGAAGCACACAGAGATCCCCCTGCCTCTGCCTCCAGAGTGCTGGGATTAGAGGGATGTGCCTACACCTCAGCTACTTTCTTTTTATTTTATGAGAACTTCCTACATGAGCTCTGTATCTACAGCACTGCCGCCTTCCAACTTCTTTATTATTGTTACATGTACATACGTATGTACATAGATGTGCATATATATAAAATCTACTGAGTCCTTGTAGCTTTGCTTATATGTACATGTGTCCAGGGCGCCACTTTTTTCTTTTTTGGAAACAGGGTCTAAGGCTGGCCTTGAACTCATGGTGATTCTCTTCTCTCTACCTCCTGAGTTATGGAATGACAGGTATACCTTGATGACCAGCTGTTTTGTTTTTGAAGGAGACTTGCTGTATAGCCTGCACACCTCAAATGGATGATCCTCCTGCCTCAGCTTTCCAAGAGCTAGCATTATGTCACAATGTCTAGTGTGATTTATTTTACAACTAAATCTTTCTCTTCTTACACTATTACATGTTCCAGAAATGTTCATCCTGTCTTCTTTTCTTTTTTGGTTTTTTGTTTTTGTTGTTGTTGTTTGTTTGTTTGAGCTGGGGTCTCACTGTGTAGCTGTGGCTGTCCTAGAACTCACTGTGTAAACCAGGCTGGCTTCAAACTCATAGCAATCCACCTGCCTCTGCCCAGAGTGCTGGGATTAAAGGCATGTACCACTATGTGATGCTTTTTTGTTGTTTTGAGAGACTTTTTGTTGAGAGAGTCTCATGGTGTAGTGTTGGCCAACCTGGAACTCACAGAAATCCGCCTGCCTCTGCCTCCACCACGGTCAGTCTTAGGGGATTTCTGCTGGCCTGTTTTTAGACAGGATCTTATTCTGTAACTGAAACTCCCAGTGTAGCCCAGGATGGCTTTACACTCACAGTAATTCTGCCTCGGACTCCTAACTGCCAGATTACCATGCCTACTTGTTATTTTTATTCTTTTCTAAAAATTATCCGTTCTTTGTTTACATGTATGTGTATGTGAGTGTTCCTACATGAGAATATGTGTACAGTGAGTACATTCCATGGAGGCCAGAGGTGTGAGAACCTAACCTGGGTCCTCTGCAAGAGGAGTAAGGGTTCTAAGTCTCTGAGCCACGTCATAGTTATCCTTCATCAGGGGTCCTTCCTTTCTTTCTGTTGTTGGTTTTTTGAGACAGGGTCTCTCTGTGTAGCTTTGACTGTCCTGGAGCTGTCTATATAAATCACGCTGTGAACCATAAAGATCATCCTGCCTCTACTTCCAGAGTTCTCCACCACACCTGGACATAGGTCGTTTACTGTACTTCATTTTCATCCCCAAACACAGGCAGCTCATTTCCACCTTGTTCTCACTCCACCTGGTTCTCACAAAGGGTGTTTCTCATTGGTCAATTTATGGAAGATCCAGAATAATAGACATCTCAGTCCTCAGGGGGTTTGGTGGATCATGGGAGGGTGACTTTGTTTGTGAGTATAGACACATTACTAATGCATTCAACAAACATTTACTGTGTGTCTGATACTGTTGTGGGCACTAGGAATATGTAACCAAACCAAAGAATCTGCTTTCTTTCTTTCTTTTTTTTTTTTTTTTAATTTATTTATATATTATGTATGCAGCAGGCCAGAAGAGGGCACCAGATCTCATTACAGATGGTTGTGAGCCACCATGTGGTTGCTGGGAATTGAATCCAGGGCCTCTGGAAGAGCAGTCAGTGCTCTTAACCTCTGAGCCATCTCTCCAGCCCAAGAATCTGCTTTCTAAATGTGGAACCAGACAAACATAATGTATTCTAGGGCCAGGCAAGGTGGTGCATCCCTTCAGTCCCAGCACTGGGGAGGCAGAGGCAGGCAGGTCTCTCAGTTCAAAGCCAGCCTGATCTGAATGTTGAGTTCCAGGACTTCCTAGAAAGACCCTGTTTAAACAGCAACAAAAGCCAAAAGCATTCTTTACTGTAGTTAAGGGTGTTCTGAGAAAATGAAACCAGTGTTGGTGGGGGAGGGGCTTCACAGGTACAAGTGAGATACTGGAGGAAGCTGTCACTGAGAGGCTAGTCCATTTGTGCAAAAGCATGAAGCAAGTGTGTGGCGGTGCAGTGTCCAGCGTGAGATGATGGCCAGTACAGAGGTCATGCAGTGAGACCCGCCCAGCTACGTGGGACAGAAGGAGTGCAGGAGGTAGAGCCGAGGGAAAGGAGGGGACACTGAGGGCCACACAAGTCACTGTAAAGGCTTTGGTTTTTACCTGAGTGAAAAACACAATCACAGCTGGGCGGTGGTGGCGCACGCCTTTAATCCCAGCCCTCAGGAGGCAGCAGCAGGAGGATCTCTGTGAGTTTGAGGGTATCCTGGTCTACAGAGTGAATTCCAGGACGGAAGGAGGTACAGAGTGAGAACACCTTTAAAAAAAAAGTAAGAACAGTGGAAGGGGCACATTCTTCACAACGGACACTTGCTGCTTACTGTGGACAAGTGGAGCAGTTAGCTTGTAATGCCAGCAGATGTTCTGTATTAGCAGACGCCATGTGAGCTCTCTGTTAAGATGTGTATGTATGTTTGAGTACTGCATGTATGTTTGTGTACCATGCGCATGCAGTATCTGCAGAGGTGGAAATAGGGAGTTGGATCCCCTGGAATTACAGGTGTTTGTGAGCTGCCACGTGGATGCTGGGAATGCAAGGGACCCAGAAGAGCAGTATCTCCCAGCCCCTTGATTTACTTTGCATCTGTGCTATGATAATAACTCTGCTTGTGGAGATTCATTTTTCCAAGCACCATTTGTTAAAGGAACATTTGTTCAATCTCTGTTGAAAGATCTTGGCATCTTGGTTGAAAATCAGTTGACCGTGGACACCTAAGTTTATCTGTGGACCTTTGATTCTGTTCTGTTGATTGACATCTGTCCTAGGCCACTTTCACACTGTATATTCATGTGTTTTTAGCTCTTGGATCCTTCTATCACACTGCTTTGATTTCTGTGGTTCAATAGTAAGTTCTGAAAACAGGAAGTGTTTTGTCCTCTTGACTGTAGACCAGCTGACCACCTCTCCCTCTGCTGGGAGAAAAGCCATGTGGCACCACTGCCTAGCTAGATTTATTTTATTATGTGTATGAATATTTTGCCTGCATGAATATATGTGCAGTATGGGTGTGCTTAGTATCCATGGAGGAGGTCAGAAAGGGTGTTGGATCCCCTGGGACTGGAGTTACAGATAGTTGTAAGCTGCCATGTTGGATGCTGGGAAATAAGTCTTATGCAAGAGCAGCCAGTGCTCTTAAGCACTGAACCATCTCTCTAGCCCCTAGTTATCGTTTCTTGGGGCAGGGTCTCTTGTAACCCAGGCTGGCCCCCAGCTCTCTGTCTAGTTGAGGATAACCTTGAACTCGGTCCTCCTACCTTTCTTTTCCAAGTGCTGGGGTGACAGGCATGTGGCACTGTACCTAATGTATGTGGTGCTGAGGCTTGAACCCAGGGCTTCATGGATGGTAGGTAAGCACTCTACTAGCTGAGCTACATCCATGCCCACCCGTGTGGTCTTTCTGGCAAGGGTTCTGTACCCACTGTGTGCTGAGATTGAGTGGACAACGTGCCTTGTTTACTTCTTCTTCCAGGTGAACAACTTTGTGATCTTTGAAGGCTTCTTTGCCCATCAGCATCGTAAGTTTCCTTACCTTGTGTTGGTGTAGTAGTTGGGAAGAGGGAAAGGAAAGAGGTGGGCCCCTGGTCCCACTGGCCCCCACTGAGGGCCACCACCTCTTCCTTCCTCACAGGGCCCCCAGCTCCCTCTCTGAGGGCAACTCGACACTCTCGTGCTTCGGAGGTCGATCCCACGCCTGCTGGTAAATCCTGCGTGGGTGGACTGGGTGGAATTAAAGGGCCGTGACGTCTGGTTTCTCCAGAGGTTCTGAAGTGTGCAGTGCTATCCACTGGCACTTCAGAACACCCAAAAGCCACCCACATGTCCAGCAGTCCCCTGTTTGCCGTGCCCTGCGGGGAGCTAGTGCTTTGTATAGCGGGGAAGAACTCGGATCCTGCTCATGCTGGAGCACGTGCTCTAACCACACTGTTCACGGCCGGCCGAGGTGCACCTGGCCCTGCCCCCAGCAAGGGTTCTCTTTAAGCCCCTTCAGAGCTTGGCTGGCCACTGATGTCAGCACAGCCTCTTGACTAGGTCAGCTCCCTCAAAACAGGCCAAAATCAGATTACTCTGTAAATTCTTCAGGCTCTGTCAGCCAGGGAGCGACAGGCAAGTGAGCCCAACAGTCCTTGATTTCTCTTCATGGCATAGAGATGTGAACAGTGCAAGGTTTAAATGCTCTCAATTTATAACATTTCTACCTGGCATGGTGATACATGCCTTTGATCCCAGCATTCAGGAGGCCAAGGCAGGTAGTGCTATATGAGTTTGGAGCTAGCCTAGTCTACATGGCAAGGTCTAGGCTAGCCAGAGCTACATATGAGATCCTGCCTTAAAAGAAAAATATTTTTTCAAAAATAATTAAACCTGGCTGGGCATGGTAGCGCATGCCTTTAATCCCAGCACTCGAGAGACAGAGGCAGGTGAACCTCTGTGAATTTGAGGCCAGCCTGGTCTACAAAGTTCCAGGACAGCCAGGGCATACAGAGAAACCCTGTCTTTAAAAAAATAATAAAATAAATAAATAAAATAAATAAACCTATTTGTAGTAAAACTCACAGGCTGCCTCCTGCCTCCCCTGCTCCCTCCCGAGTACATCCTCAGGGAGAGGGCACAGTCCTCACCAGTAGTGTGCTGCATGGCACAGAATGTCCTTCCTGGGATAGCCTTGTGGTTAGTTACCCCTTGATCTAGAAATAGAAAAGGAGTAACAGTGGCCCAAAGAAGAGCTCATTGTGCCAGGCGGTGGTGGCGCATGCCTTCAATCCCAGACTCCGGAGGCAGAGCCAGGCTGATCTCTTTGAGTTCAAGGCCAGCCTGAGCTACAGAATGAGTTCCAGGAAAGGCGCAAAGCTACACAGAGAAACCCTGTCTCGAAAAACCAAAAAAAAAAAAAGAAGAGCTCATTGCTCTTTATTAGTGTCAGCCCAGGCTTCCAGAGGCCCATCACGTCCATGACCTATGGTAGTTTCGGAGGCTACCGTCTAACAGGCAGTGAGGTCTTGCTGCTATCTGGGATGGATGCAGATCCACAGAGGGCTGATTGAAACCCTCCATCAGGTTTGTGATACAAAACCTAAGAAAGGGAGGTAACCCACCCTTGCCCCTTGCCACACAGTAATTTCCACTTGCTGAAACCCTTTTGCAGATGCCCACAATTTTTTCTCTTTATTGGGGGGATAAAGGGGTTGAGACAGGATCTCTCTGTGTTTCTCTGACTGTCTTGGAACTTGTTATGTAGACCAGGGTGGTCTTGAACTCAAAGCCTGTCCTGCTTCTGCCTCCTGAGTTCTGGGATTAAGGCATGCACCACCATGCCTGGCTCCTTGTTTGAGACAGGGTCTCACTCTGTAACTCCGGCTGTCCTGAAACTTGACATGTCTGTCAGGCCTGCCTCTACCTTTCCAATGCAGGGACTAAAGGCATGTGCCACCACATTCTGTTATTATCTTAAAACCTAATAAAACCTCAGTCTTTCCATGCTTTTTTGTACAGGAAGGAGAGGTTCTGTACCTCCTCTCTACTCCCCTCCCCAGAACAATTCCCAATTAACCAAGGGCTTTGTCCATCTCATCTAGAGGGACCCAGGGTCCTCACTGGCCCAGCTGGGACTATTCCACTGCCCCAGAACCCCAGGGGGGCCTGACAACACCCATGGACAGTAAGAGCTCGCCTCCCCTTGGCCACCCTTCCCTGTATCTCCCAGGCCCTGGTCTCCCCTGGATCTTTCTCCTGAACTCTGTGTCTGGCCTACTCCTTCTGGCTCTCCCGGAAAGTGCTCCAGCGTTCCTCCCCGGACTCCCTTTGGTGTGCTGGCTTTGCCAGGCACGGCTGCTGGCTTCTATCCTGGCATTCCCAGGAGGAGCTGTGGCGTCAGGGAGCAGAAGTTTGGGACTGTGGGGAAGTGGCAGGGAGGAGGGGTGGAAGGTGCATCTCCTAAAACTTCCTGTGTCCCTGTTACCACCAGCTCCAGCACGGAAGCTGCCACCAAAAAGGGCAGAGGGAGACATCAAGCCATACTCCTCCAGTGACAGAGAATGTAAGGGGGTGGGGGGAGGGGTGGGGGTGGGGTTAGGGGAGGGTAGCTGGGCCGAGGACTCAGAAGAGGGTGGCCAAGCCCTGAGAACCAGATGGGGAGGCTGGCTAGGCATAAGGACCTGGGGAAGAATGGTTAAGGGAAGGTAGCCGGGTGCCAGTAAGAAAAGGCTACAGCTGCTTTCTCTGCCTAACCTTGGTCATTGTGACTCTGCTCTCCCTCTTCCCCCAGTCCTGAAGGTGGCTGTGGAGCCTCCTTGGCCCCTGAACAGGGCCCCTCGCCGCGCCACCCCTCCAGCTCACCCACCCCCACGCTCTAGCAGCCTGGGAAACTCTCCAGATCGGGGTCCCCTCCGACCCTTTGTGCCAGAGCAAGAGCTGCTCCGCTCCCTGCGTCTCTGCCCCCCGCACCCCACTGCCCGCCTTCTGCTGGCCTCCGACCCTGGGGGCAGCCCAGCCCAGCGCAGACGCACCAGGTAATAGGGCTTGCAAATTTGGGAGCCTCGGGATGTCTAGAAGTTAGGAATGGTGAAGGATGAGGGGAATCCCCCAGAAATGTGGAACAGTGAAATCTTCACCAAAAACACTAGTTTCTGCAGCATTGGTCTGGAAAAAGAGTGAAGGATCTGAGGTGCTTTGTACGGAGCCATGGACCAGAGTTAATGAGGTCATCAAAAGAGTAGGAAGACAGAATCCATTGGGTGGGGGCTTTGAGCCTTTCAAAACTGGGGGAATCTTGTTTTAACATTTGCCAGGGATAGGCATGTGTCTTACAGACTGGGAACCACTGGGTTCCAAGGCCAAGGGCCTCTGTGCCAAGAGCTTTATGTCTCCTCTTAGCGTCTTCTTCACCTCTGACATCTCTGTTTTTCTCTCTCCCTGCCTTCCCTCTCCCCTCCGCCTGTCCATAACATCCCTCCACAGCTCCCTTCCCCGCTCTGAGGAGAGTCGATACTGACAGACTGACAGCTGCCCCTTGCCCTCCTCCTTCCCCACCTGCAGCTCACTCTTCCATTGAGATTTTTTTCTTCCCCTTTCTTGAACAGCTGGGTTGCCAGGGTTCTAAATAGCCTAACTCTTTGTAGCTTTTCTTACCACAGAAGACACCCCACACTCCCAACATGTGCTCTGAACACTCTCCCACAGACAGCCCATTCTGTTCCCAGAACTCTTGGGCTAAATGGCTCCTGCTGACTCCCTAGAGAAGCACATTCTCTGCTTGTGGTCAGACTCCAGACCACTGGAGAAGGTCCAAGGGCCTCTTCCGCCAGGGAAACCTTTAAAGAGTGTCCTGTCAGTGGATAATTCCCTCCACAGTGCCCACTGGTAGCTCTAATCCTGCATCCTGCTGCCAAACAAACCTGTCCGTTAGTCTGCTGATGCCAGCCTGTGAGCAAGCTCTGCTTCAGAGCAGTCCAGGCTGCTGGGACAAGGACTCCTTGGCTTCCCAGCAGGGTCCTCCCAACATTGCCAAACTTGTACTTTCCGACGTGTAGATGTGTCACATGTTGCTTTGGGGTCTCTTGGGGGACCCACAGACACCGCCACTTTCCTCAGATGATCTGAGTCTGTCTCTTGGCAGTAGAGACAGTGGTCCCAGCAAACGCCCCAGGACCACGTAGCTGTGTCTCTGAAGATAAGCCCGGTCCATTAGATCCTGGACACCCCCAACCTCCCTGCCTCCCCATAGACAGACTTGTGAGATTGTCTTGGGATGAGATGGGGCCATCCTTCTGCTGCCCTTACTCCTTTCCCTCCATAGGAAGATTCTCCTTCCCTGCCTCCATGCCCAGGGTACAGAAAGACCCTTCCTCTCCCCGCCCCCGAACATGTGGTAGATCAGGTGCCCCACTGTGTTCCTCAAGTCCTTGGGAGCAGGACCTCCCTCCCTCCCTCCCTCGTTCCTCCTCCCTCTCAGTGGTGTCTCAATAAAGTGTGGATTCTTCTGTTTTCTAAATTGACATTTTCAACGAAGAACAGCTTAAGGTGTCAGCTTCATTTGTGCGTCAGTATTTTCCTGGGGTCTCCTCTCCTCTCCACTCTGAGATCTGCAGCAGAGCTCAGAGTCCCCCGCCCCCCTTTTGAGGGTCTGCCCCTCCCCATCTCTGTTGCTGGTTCTATCCTAGAGTTGCAGTGACTCTGTGGACCTCTCAGTCCACTTGGGAGCTAACTTTAGGTCCCTCCCCAGCGACTGCTGCCTCCTTCCCCTGGCCAGCCCTGGACAGTGTTAAGATTTCCTGGGATCTTGGGATTCATTAACCTCAGGACTGTTTCATGTCTGCCCCACTAATCCCTCAGTGCTCTCCCAAGTCCTACCTACTAACCGTCCCCACAGGGTACCAGGCATGATGGCACATGCCTTTAATCCCAGCTCTTAGGAGGCAGAGGCAGGTAGATCTTGATAAGAGTTTGAATCGAGCCTGATCTACATAGCACGTTCCAGTCCAGCCAAGCTACATAGTGAAACCCTGCCTCAATAATAATAATAATAGTTCAACAGAGTCTGTCATCCTCCTGAAAAGACAGCCCGTTCCTCCTAAATTTGGCCTTGCTACTCTGGTCTGAGATCTTATATTTAAGGTAACTATGTTTTCAAATATCAGGGCACATGGTCCAAGAAGCTCCTTTTTTTGCATGATATGAGTGTTTTTTGTTTGTTTTTGGTTTTTCGAGACAGGGTTACTCTGTGTAGCTTTGCGCCTTTCCTGGAACTCAGTCTGTAGCCCAGGCTGGCCTTGAACTCACAGAGATCTGCCTGGCTCTGCCTCCCGAGTGCTGGGATTAAAGGCGTGTGCCACCACGGCCCAGCTGCGTGAGTGTTTTTATGACATAATTGGATCACATCACACACCACACCACCCCGTTGGGATAAAGCAACGCAGCGGGGATACTTTAAAAATCGTGAGGTATACAATGAGCCCTCCCCTACCTTTGCTGGGAAAAGCTTAGACAGGAACCCTTGGGTGACAGCGGCCCTCTGTCCTTGCTCTCATGCTGTTCCTCCTCTCTCCTCTGACCCCTCCACGCCATCTTTCATCCTGAGCCTCTTCCCATCATCTCCCATTTCTTCTACAGGGTGACTCCCCGGGGGCTGGCAGCCCAAAGCTGCCACTACAGCCGCCATGGGGGAATCAGTACCTCATCCCTGGGCACAGGTAAGTGGTCACTCTTTCTATTCTTCAATCAAGTGGGCCACACACATACTACTGCAGTCTCCCCAGATGCCTGGTATTTCCACAGGCAACCAAGAACGGAAGCAGGGGGAACAGGAAGCAGAGGATAGGTGAGGTCTGCACCTCCCCTAACAGCCGCCCGCACCTCTGACACTGCCTAACATTGTTCTCACATGCTTCCTGCTAACACAGCCTTCTTCCTCGTGGGTTGAGCTCTGGTGCCTCCCTCTGCCGTGCTCTGCGGGCTGAAGTTTGTGCAGTGTTAACTGTCCCGGTCTTGTTCCCCAACAGGTGTTCTCCTCATTGACATGGCACCTAGGGCCTTGAAGAATCTAATAGGGATTCCTGTGAGCAGCTCTAACCCGCTCTCCGTCTCCCTGCCCCCCAGGTTGTCCAGTGAGGATCAGGTCTTGTTAACCTTTGGGTCTGGGGAGGAACCCTCGAGTACAGTTGCTCCCACGGTCCAGAATCGATCAGCTCAGTCCTGGCCGGTGGGTGGGGACGTCCTCAACGCCAGGTTTATCCGAAACCTGCAGGAACGCCGCAGCACCCGGCCTTGGTGACCACAGCCTCCTCCACTCTTTCCAAGTCCGTATTACTTCTCCTTCACCACAGGACACGGCCAAAGCTCAGCCCTCATAATGGATGCATTCATTCATTCATTCAACAGGCCTATCAAGCTTCAGATCGTTTGTATCTTATTTTTAACGAGAGCAATAAAAGTATTTATTTTTTATCACTATACTCATTGAAAGAAAGTGACTGGTCATTACTTAATTCACCCACCCCCATTCTCATTAAACCACATTCAGCTCGACCTTCACTGAAGACTTTGCTAGGCCTGGCCAGGGGCTGCGCAGGCGCTGCTC